TATCCTATACTATGGTCGGTTATCGTATTTATGACGGATCGTTTCTAAAATTATAATATATTAGATTCATAAGGGATCAATTTTAACATAAAAAGACATGTATTTGAAATGAGAACTAATCAGTAAATAAAACTAAAAATAATAAAGAAGATAAAATGTTCTAATTAGTAAACAAATATTTAATATTATCAATTAAATTCAACTTTTTATCTTATTTATAATTGTAACATTTGTAACCAATGAATATTAAAATTTCTCAGACGAAATAATCCTATTTAAAACGACATATTATTATTATCAGTTAAGTTCAACGTACTGTAATAAATAAAATCGTAAGAAAAAAGTATTTTTTAAGTTTTTTACTTTAGCCATGTTAAACGTTTTATACTAAATTATAATCAACATTTGTTTATATAATCGGATTCAATAATACATTAAAAAAATTAGAGCACACATATTTATTTGTGTATTTTAACATAATCGAGTTTAATCGAATTTATTGATTTAAGTCTAATAAAACAATTTACATTTATCTTGGCTTGAACGCAATGTTTTTTTCTAATTTTTCATGACCGATATTTCTTAATGGACAATTGGCTGAAGTACAAATTTAATAAAACGTATTATAATATATATCTAGATGTATTTCTTATATTTAAGACACAGACATAATCCCATATGAAAATTAATTTATGTTTAGAATTAAAAAGAATAAAACATATACCTACATATTTTGTATATCGATTAATATTTCGAACCTATTTCATAATGAACAATACTAAAAAAAAAGGCTAGCAAGTTGATGTCGCTCTGCCGTACAATAGGTCACTGTAGTGGATGGTGTTAAATTTGAATTTATAATAATATAATATCATTGTATAAGAAAAACGTTTCTGAACGTTTGCGTCAGCCTATGATACTAAGTATATTTGATGATAATATTATTGTGAATAAAGTAATTTATTTACAACCTATTTACGTGGAATCTTGTTTTAAATTGTCAATACATGGCTGTACAAGTTAAACATACTATACATTTTTTAAAAAAAATAATTATTATTTTAAATTTGATACATTTTGTCAAATTTGAATTTTAAATACTTATAAAAAAAAATTGTGGCTATGTATTTTTAATATTTTCAAATATTATAATACTGCTATTGTAATAATCAAGAGACTTGTTTTAATACTTTTTGCCCCTAAAAGTAAAATAAAATTGACATTTATAGAAAAAAAACTAAAACTAATTTTTAATTGAAATTGTCCGTAAACAGCTCAAAACAAACCAAAATATTTTCTAAATTTTATAGTGATAGAAAATTTCGGTTATCTACAGTTATTAGTTTTTTAATTAAATTAATATAACGAAATCGCTACATGAGGAATCAAGTAAATGTTGTAAAAATATGAACTTCAAACTATCATAAAAATTTAATTTAACTTTCTTGTAGACATTTTTTTTTTTTTGATAAAGGTAGACAAATTTTTGAGGAATTTCATACTACATTTTCAAATCTTAAATTTAATAACAAACATTTTTAAGAATTTCTAACTCAAAATAATTTGCACATTTTCATGATTTTTACGTGTTTTGTCCAGATTTGAACTTTAGGCGCTTATCAAAAAAATTGTGACTATATGGATGTTCTTTATTTTTCAAATGTCATTGTAACAATATATTAAGAGCTTATATTAAATATTCAAGCTTTTTACCCAACTAATAACATTTTATTGTAATTCAAGAAAAAAAACTAAAAAAATTTAAAAATTTAAAATGTCCGTAAACAGTTCAAAACAAATCGATATTTTTTGAAAAGTTTATCGTGTACCTATAGAAAATCCTAATCATATCTACGGTCATTTGTTTTAGAATTATAACAAAAACCGAAATCAATTTGAGTAAAAATTTTTTTTCCTTCATTTTTATTTTCTTTTTCCTTTCTCTTTCGAAAACTATTAGGAATTTTTTACTTTTGACCCCCCAAAGTACCAACTAGATTCACATAATATCAGAAAAATACTGTTGAAAAAAATCTAAGCATTTATACTGTCTTATTAACAGGTGATGACTGACACAAAAAAAAAAAAAATAAATAAAAATATTAAAAAAACATATCACTGTCAATACATTCATCACTCCGCTCAGAATGTAATACTTAAATTAAAATATTTAATTTTTAACTAAATGACTATGTAAGTATATTAATATGAATTGATAATTTAATATTCGTGATGATTATGATGAAGAATGTTTTTCTATTCTAATTTTCTATTTCACTTGTATACAAATACTCTATAAATAAAATAATATGACCAAAATATATTAAATTTAAGATAATATTGTATTGTTAAAAATTCCCAATGTGGTCGAATTATAAATAATTGTAAATAATAAAATAACACTTATTGAAATTATGTTTCAAGATTTAAATTAACAATTTTTAAATATGGTCTATGGACAACAACGATATTCCAATAAACTTTAAAATACAGGTTTTAAATTCACAGGATATATTTTATTATTTAATATTTATGTTGTGTCTATATATGACTATCATGATATACGTTAATGAGCCATTTGTAATAATGTTGTCTACAATACAACTTTAACAGAATTCAGACCGTCAGCCCAAACAATATTACCAGTATGCATAATTTTTGTGATAATAAATTATTTTATGTAAATACAAATGAATGATTTTAATGATAAAAATAATTTAAATAAGTTTTTTTCGACTTTCAATAAAACTTTTTCCATATAACTTACTGTCGTATCAAAAAATATGTTCATTTTATTCATACAAAAACTATAAAAATAATTTTAAAACGCATACAACAAATAAACCAACTAACAATGTTCAGTATAGATATCTGTTAAGCCGCAGATACTTATTAATATTATTGTCAACTTAGTATTCCGTAAGACCGTTTTAATAGTTAATTAAAATAGTATACATTTTGTGCAGTTAAACAATGGTATTTTTTAGCTTAAAAAGCAAACGATATAATAATATGTAAGAACTGGATTTTTTAAATTCCAACGAGAAAAATGTATAAATAAAAATATAAACTTGCATAATTTGTATAAATAAAAATCTTTAATATATGTTACACACAGTGTCAAAAACAAAGAAAACACAAAAGAATTTTAAAAGAAAATTAAATTTTCGTTTCTCGAGAATTCCATTGTTTTATTTTATTATTATTATTTTCTATGGAACTAATGGGCTTTCGATATCTATTTAAGATGTAAACAATAATATCCAATATTTACAATACTGGCATGTAAAAAATGTGTAGTGCGAATGAAGCTGAACAAATTGATATTTCAAACCGTATAATTTATATATTCCGTAATCTTAACGTAGTTTAATTTTTTTTTTTTTATAGACGTTTACGTAACAAAGTTGCAGTTATTATAGCTGTTACAAATAAAACTGTTTAAAAGTTTAAATTACCCTGGTTAGAAAAAATAGCCGTGTATGGAAAAAAAACTTTTTCAATCGTTAAAAATATTGTCTACAGCATAAGTTCTAATATTTTTTCGGTGTTGGTTTTTATTTTTTTTTTTTTAAATCTTTTTAGAGATGGAACAAATAATACAGTGCATACACATGCAGATATCTATATATATAAAGGCTATGCTTTTTTAAAAGAATGAATAATTATATATATTATAATATTTTCCCTTCAGTAGTACGAAGCAACAACCCCTGGATAATGGCTTGTAAAATGTTAATTACTCGGTACACCCGATTACGTTACATTATTGTTAACTTTCATAATGTTATGCACTCAGACGCTTTTAAAATGAATTCGAATGACTTTGGAGGCAATTTTTTGTCAAAATCACTACTACATAGTTACAGCGGTGTACCATTATAATAACGTGATTAACATAAACGTGGGCGGAATACAACTTTACGTCTAAGGATATATATAATCTGTAAAAAAATATGTTTTTTTTCATTCGTGACTGACTACATAATAATATACATATACATAATATATAAGGCAATAATAGATTTTATAATATCAATTTAAAACATGGTTACCAATATTAAAACTGTCTGATTTATTAAAATTCGCAAACAAACTCCATTTTCGACAAAACCGACCATGTAAAATACATTTTTATAATGTATTAATCATAAATGTTTTTTTATTTAAATTGCAATAAGCCGATATAGGTACATTACACACGGGGTGATCCATTTAACATAAGATATTCATTAAACACGTTTTTAAAAATATTTCTTCTACCTCCATCATAGTCGATACTAAACCAACATTTTTAACTATTTTTTAAGTTTTGTAGGTACTCTTATGAATATTAACACACATTTTTAATTTTATATTTCGAAGCAGAATATTATTCAAAGAATTTAAATCTATAAAAATAAAATTTTGGACGAATATAGTTTATTAGATCTATGAGCTGAATATAGTGGATCAACATTTCGCTGTACCTCTGTATCTTTGTAGCTACACATTCACTCCGCTCATGGCTCACCTATATATACTTTAAATACCTCCATCTAACTCATACACTAATGGTCCAAAATTCGCTTTGTATATGCATTGAAGTATTACAAAAAATATTCTGCTTTAGAATTTTGAATTGAAAATGGATGTTTTCATTGAAAAAGTACAACATTAAAAAAATTATATCAATAAAAATAGAAAATTTTTTTTTTTGTTAGAAAAATATATTTTCTTAACGACTATTAAAACTATGTAAAATAAATATTTTTAAAAACATTAATAGTTAATAATATTATAATAAAGGTACCAATATATATTTGAATAGCAATGTTTTTTAGAATCAATATAGCCGGGTTGTTGCGTCTGTTTAGAACACTGCAATGGATTAGTTCTGCTCGACTTAACAGGGTACGACTAATTTATATGAACGTTAAAAATATTTTATATAATATCCTTATCTACATAATTAAAAACGATCTGCGACTGCATGAATAAAATACAAAGGGCTTACTCACTTCTTGTGTCTTGATACGTGTCGGTGACAAGTTTAACGAATGGATTGGCCGTGTACCCGTAAAAATAATGTGTGTTCCACGTCTTTTTGGCCGTGATCTCTATACCAGATTTGGAAAAAACTTCTGATATGGTAGACGCGATCTTACCGAAATGAGTGTCGTCTGCGTTCGAATAAAAAAACGTCACCTGTTTAAATACATCAATCATTCAATACGTTTAACGATTGTAATAATAAGACTATATAGGTACATACGATTAATATAATATTATAATATCATTCACATCGCGGTGATTTAGGGCATACATTAATAACCGGCAAACAATTAATTATGATATGACGATATAATATTGTCGGAGGAAATATTTCAAAATAATAATTAACCCAACCCCCAACACTTACGCAAGAAATATTATGAAACAAACGAAAAGAATAACATCGTAGATTAAATATTTTGGACAATATTTTATCGCAGTATAATATTATAATATATGAAACTATATACACATTCAATGTACATCACATTGAGCACGAGAAACAACGTAAAGAAAAATTCTCATAATTAATGGATGAATAAATAATATAAGAATAATATTGCATAACTAGCTAGTATAGCTACCCAGTTAATTATTTCAGCTGCAACTAGATAAGTAAAATCCTTAAACTAGAGTAACACTGACATTCGGTAATTTTAAAAACTAAAAATTATAATACACTTTTTATAACGTCGTAAATTAATATTTAATATACATAAAACATAAGTATCTATTTGAAGTTGTTATTATAAAATTATAGAGTTTAAATGGCGAACGGTTTAGAATATCAAACAGGTTCAAAAATTGAAATACGAGTCTGTCATTAGAATGGGTAACCTGTTTTCGTAATTGAAAAACGTGTAATATAATGATTAGCAGAAAAAATCACTTGTTTAGATTCACTCATTAAAACTATCAAATGTTACATAAAAAGTTTTTTGCCTTCTTAAAGTATTTTGTAATAAATTATTTTTAAAAAAAATTCTGAATTTTTCATGTAGAGCTATAGATTGAAATATCGAATAAATATTTAAAATATATAGTAGGTACCACTCCACTATGATAAAATATTATGATGACGTATGACATAGAAAATTTTTAATTATATAATTAATTCAAAATATTTCAGTTATTTTAAAAATGCAATGGAAAACAGTGACATTCATGATAAACACATTGACCATTTCTATCAAAATCTATACCATTATATTGTGGGTGAACCCAACTTCGGTCAGAATGGCTCGTTTTTTTTAAATGGAATGATTTATCATTGGCCATTGCATTCAAATTTAAAATAATAATAGAATACTGGTTATTTTATTTTTATATTTTTGTTAAAATATGTTGGCATTATACTGAGTATGGTTTTCGCGATATATATTATGTAAATAATATGTTACCATAAATTTAGTTCATCTCTAATTTATATTCATTTTTTGTTCATTTATCATGAAGGGCCTTTATATATTAACGTATTCCGTGAACTACAAAAAGAAAATATTACATTATTATTGTTCATATAAAATTAACATTTTTTGTTAAATTTTTTGTTGATACATCTATTTATTATGCGTGAAAATTACTATTTTAAACATCCATTAATACTACCTATATCAGAATGCGTTATTCAATAAATTATACTTTACAATTAGTTTGGATTAATATTACGCACTAAATGATATTTTCTATAATAACAACTTTTTTTTTTTTAATTGATCTTTTTAAAGCCCGGCGACTATGGCCATTAGCTTGATTGTAGGTTTATGATTGTAGGTAGTAGGGTTTGAAATTGTAGGATTATTACACGTGTGTGTTGTGTTTGGCAGAATTTCTATTGGGGCACCCGTAGGTTCTGCATGCCACGGAGTGAGGATGCGGCACTTGTTTCTCCGGACCCGTGGACTTGCCCGAGGAAAAATACCGCCCAGTGGGCGAGAGATCGACCCCGCGACCGCCTAGCGCCGCAGACGAACGTGTTCGACAGCTCGGCCACCTCGTCTCCAAATAAACAGCTAGATCAATATATGACACTTTAAATTATATACATAATAATATATACGTTCTTTTCGTTTTGTATGGTCCCTCATAATATTTTTGAAAAGCAGAAAAAAATGTTTTCTTTGCAACTATTATAATATGTTCTTTAATTGCAATGGTAAGTATGTGATTTAGTTTTAGCACGCTGCACGCGATTTAAATGTATTACGCAGTATAAATATGAACATTAAATATCACCTTAAGCTTTCAACAATTTCTACAATATATGACACATGAAACATTGCGTGATTGTAGTAATGTAAAATCTTGAGTACTATAATATACGATTTGAAATGATTCACATGTTTGTAATAAAACCAAAGAAAATTTCGCTTGCTAATTACATAATCCGTAAATAAAATGAAACCAACAACATTGAATGAAACTATATTCACTTTAACGGATATTTACAATTATTATCATAATATATTGAACTCGGCAATCTTGTCAAAAAGTATGCACAATATTATGTATTAGAAATTTCAATTTGATTTGCCAAAAATGAAAATAAAAACCTATAAAATTATTTACCTAATGCTACAGGTTGGATGATCTTTAGTCATAACATGGTTATGTCTGCATGTAAAATAATTCCTGGGGGACGAGGTGGCCGAGCGGTCTAACGCGTCGGCTGCGGCGCTGGCAGTCGTGGGTTCAATTCTCTCGACCACTGGGCGGCATTTTTCTCCGGGCAAGTCACGGTGTCCGGAGAACAAGTGCCGCCATCCCCCACCCGGGCATGGCAGATACCTACGGGTGCCCAATCAAAAATTCTGCCAAACCCAACACACACGTGTTCCTCCCCCCTACCGACATTAACAACCCACAAATAAACCACTACAGCTAATGGCCATAGTTGCCGAAGCTTAAGATCAAAAAAAAAAAAAAAAAAAATCATTGTAATAATACCGTCTAACATATTACAATTTAAAATATATAGGTATAGGAATACAAATTATAATTGTCATAGAACATTGAGAAAGGTCCACGAAAACCATACAATATTATGTGAGAACAAAAACAGTAAGGAAACAGTCGCACAATGCAGCGGTTATAACAATAATATAATTATGTGCTTTTAATTAAAATGTTCTATCTCGCGATAATAATATAGAATATAATACAGTAGTTGTATTCTCTAAGCCATCCAAAACGGAAAAGAAACTCCATCTAACCCCTGCTACTGTAAGTTCACATTTAATTTATGATTTATCGCACGTCTTAATGCCTATAGTAGTGTTTAATATAATATAGTAAAATACCATATACTATGTATATAATATATCTATATAAACAATAAACGAGTGAGTGCGTATTTACGGTGTCCTTATGTAGTTATGTATATATTTTCCCCTTTTCGTGGTCGGTTCGCAAACCGCATGTGGCATATTGCAACACCAGTGTTGTACTTCAATATACATGTACAGAGTGATTATTTTATCACAGAACACTCTATATTCCTTATAACTTGAACTATAACCCCAACCTAAACTCACTGCAAAATTGCTATATTACGACAGGCTAGGGCTAGACAGTGCGGCAAAAAACACAAGTGAGAATATGTTAAAAATACTGTAAATATTCTATAATACGTGGCTGTATACTATATAATAAGTGAAAGACGAAATCCGCTTAGGTCAGCTTAAAGAATATTGAGCGTTTTTCGATGATAAAACAATCACTCTGTATACACACGATTGTAGCATAACAATGTATAGTAGACACACGGTGCGGGGGTCGGAGAATAGCAATAACCACGAACCAAGATCGGACGTGACGTCGTCTTGGCGGAATGTAAGGGAGGAATAAGTGAAAAGTGGAAATAAAGGAAAATTCAGAAAATACGTCTTGAACACAGAACGGTGAGAGGGAACGTCGACAGGACCGCCCAACTTGCGGTTACCGAATGGTTTTCTCGTTGATTTGTGTGTATGTGTGTAGTTGGTGTGGTGGGAGGGGTGGTCGACTCACCTGAGTCCAGTTGAAAGCTTTCAGGACCGCCGCCACGGATTTGGATATCTGAGTGTCCGGCGGACGTGTGCGGGCGAACGTCGGGAACAGCGTTTTATCCGACGTGTCCGAGTCCATGCAGAACTGTAACATTTATTAATAAGACACAAGATAAAATTGATAAACCGACATAGATAATATCATTATTATTATATAGAAATAGTATGGACTTCTAACGCATAGGTAATATTAACAATAGGCATTTTGCCATTTTGTATTGACTTGAAAATATATCAGTTCAGTACTTTAGTCTACGTAATTGTACGCGTAGGTAGTTATTTATTGCACCGAACACAGTCCTTTAAAGTTTTGGTCTTAAGCCGCATTCGTATGCATACAAAATGCAACAGGTATTGCTGGAGCCTATAAAACGGGAGAGGGAGTTCAATATAACATTTTTTGATTGCATCTTACTCCAGCTTGCATAGTTGCATAATTTACCTATGATCTCGAGGAAAAAATGCATAGATCGTTTGTATGACTTTGGATAAGAATATATTTTGCTCGTGCAACAGTAGGTACAATATCGTCCTTGTGTGGTGTACAGTAACTAATTATAATGTGTGAATTGTTTCCTGTGAGAAACTCTAAAGTGGAAGGTTTATTGGCTTTCTTCTGCCTTCGACGTTATAAATACATCATATAGGTCTCTTGTTAATGTTTTTGAAAGACTGCGGTAAATAGCCTTATTTTTCTGAATAATTAAAGTTTGTTTTCACATCAGTACAAAATACTAATAATGATTATCATACCAAATTATATATTTGATATACAAATAATAAAAAAATTAATTCTCCTAATGTAAGCCTGATCATTTTGTGTTTCAATAGCGCAGCAATAGATTTATACCAAAATGATGGTTCAAGGAGTGAAAGCAGATGTACATTTTAATTTGTAACTGCAAATTGTGCCCATGAAATTATAATTATTTATATAATATTATGTGCTTTTTTCAATGAAAATTTAATCTTACCGTATTTATTTAACGTACCTTAATCACCGAAAAGCTTACGGAATAAACCCCGGTGCGGCAGTAGTGAATTTATTTGCATTTTAATGTTTACGGTTTATTTAGCAGTTTAACCTAAGTAAATTAAATTTAAAAATAATTATTTACGCGTCATAGTTTGTTTAATTATTGTAACAACTATATATATTATGTATCTCGGGTGGACATTTTCGATCTTTACGGTTCAATGGATTAAATTGAAAACAAATTAAGGTTTTCATAGAGTACGCGCAAAAAAAAAATCTAATAAAACCTACCTATACGTAGAGGATTCAAGTTGCATTAGTTCATTTTTAAATTTATCTAGTTTTTCAATGGAAAGGAGCAATTTGTTTTTCGTATAAATGAAAAGGAGGGTTAAACCGAGTCGAATAAAAAAAAAAGAGATAAATTGCAAAATGGTAGTCACAATTTACAAACGTCTGATTCATTCATCCACTTTTTTCACCACTATCTTTTTGCTTGGCCAGTTAAAGTTAAAGAAAAATGAGTTCCATTTTATTATTGTTTTGTTTTGTGCATAATGCAACTGAACAAAAAATGAACTTGCTAAAATCTTCTTATTGTCCTTTTCTCCGTACCATTTATAAAAATATAATATATAGATAATAGCTGACATTAAAAACACTCACTACTTCATAACCGCACGTACTACATATTATTATTAAAGCCATCGCAGCTCGTTAAAACTGGTTTTGTTTCAGAAGCCACCTAGTGCTAGCACTAGTGCGTATCGGTAACGGCTCCATTTAATTTACATTTTAATTGTTCAATAAAAATCACAAAGTTGTGACTTATTCAGGTTTGTAGTTGATAGGTATTATCATATATGGTCAGCATAAGAATATGTATAATATAGACAACAATTTATTATCTACCATTAAAAATAACGTATACTTTAAACAGTTTACTAATCGTCCCCATTGAAGCTATGGTAATTTTGATAAATAAATCAAATGATATTTCGCCACATTATGTAAACGATAGTATCGAAGAGAGTGCATTTTAAATTTATTAGTTTTCAGAACATTCTTTAGTAAATAATTTATACCAGTGACAGAGGCGGAACGTTTTTCTCCAATTTTAGAAAGTGTACTATTTGTTTTTAAGTTATTAGCATTATACTCTTGCACTGATAGAAATGAATGTGATGGTTCCTAACTAGTGTTTCGCCAAAATCCTGTTATAATTATAACAGTTGCAGTACGCTTTAATACTTTATACATTGAACAAATCTTCAAACTATACAACTAAAGACCACGGTAAATAACATTAATTATCGTCAAGTCAAATAGAGCCAAATTTCTAGAATTCTTGAACGATAAAAAAACGAAAAATAGAAATTGCTATGGTAAAAATATGTACATACCTAAGCGGTTACTAATTATTATTATGTCATTTCGATAATTCAAAAAAAAAATTTGAAATATTCATGTAAACGTTCTATAATAGTGTTGTTGCAGTGGTAGATATAAATATGGGGATTCGTGGATTTATAAAAAAAATCTTTTCGGCGGAAAACATACCTATGCTTATCTGCCGAATAATACTGTGAAATCAGTGCACAGACTGTTCGAAACTTAACAATTATTATTCCAACACTATACGAGTAGCGCCGTACGAATTTTAACATAATATATTATTATTAACTGGACAACTAATAACTATATAATATAATATAGGTAGGTATACTAATAAAAATAAATGAATTGTCTACGGTCGTTGTTCTCTTGTTTCCGTACGCACACGCCACACACGCACACCCATATCACAAAAGCGTATCACGTCCGTCTGACTTTTTTTTCACAAACGGATTCAGTTACATTGCCGATTTCTATATAATGTCTGGGCTAATGATTATTTATTAGTCATGTAAACTGTTCCCCGGGGCGACACATATTTACTGAATCTCGTTAGCTGAACGGTTTAATTTGTGCAATGACAGTTGAATACATTACACGAAACCTATTTAACTACCTTCGTTTCCAATTCACGTAAGTACAAATATATATATTCAACGATATCACGTTATCGCGAACACGCTACCGTTACAGATTAATAATAACCATCACCATTGGAAGAATTGTTTTTATTCATATTTTATATTGTACGTCGTCGTGATCGCCGTCGAAGCTTTGCACAGAGATCGGAAATATTACCGATTGAACGTTTTTTCTTTTACTGTTTTTTTTTTTTTTGCACCATTATACGTATTTCTATACCAATAAACCAAAAGCCATTTTATTTCGATCAAGAAAAATGTTTTCTGGTTCTAATCATTTTCGAGTAGGTTTTCCAGTACATTTCACTCTGTCGCTCGGAGAAAAGCCACTAAAGAAAATCTGTTATTTCAACGCAGTTGCCAAAAAAAAAAAAAAATCACGATAACTATTGAATTCTCGGTTTAGGTAAGTATCAAAATAAATACAACACATCCCATAAACAAATTCGAAACAACCATCGCAATAACTATATTATGATATAAATATATTATAACGAAAACACTTTTGACTCTGACAAGCACATTATCTATAATCTATACATATTATAATATACCTAATATTATTTCTCGAGTGAATATTCATCGGTCGAAAAATTCAAAAAATCAACGATAAATTTTCATAGATCCAATAAAAAATTGTATGCGCTCCTCATATTATTGTTATTCTATCCCGGCAGATTATGTTTTCGGATCGGAACAACCTGCAAGTGGAAACGGATTTAACTATAATCATGGACAAAGTTTAAGCACTCCAACAGACATTCAGTACATTTAGTTTAGACATTCAATAACTAAAATAATAATACATGATTTGTACGCGTCTCACAAAACTTATTCGGATCTGGCTGCACATGCCTGCCCGTTCGTTAAACAAAACAACCTGTAGATTCCATTTACTTGTGTTTTGTATTTTTTTTCTTTGACAAAGCTAAACGAAATCTCACATAATGTGCCGATACGTAGTGTTTACATTCAGGTGTAAAAAAATACTAGTGAAATAATTTGTAATTCAATTATTGAAATAACTCTTGATATGTACCTATATCAATTATATAGATACCTATGTATAATCAATATTTGTAATTACTTTTTTTTTATTATAAGTAGCTACCTATTTATTAAAAATCGTATAGTAAAAAAAAAAAAAAATTATAAAAGTATCATCATTACCCAGCTGATTACGTTTATCCGTTATTTCCGTTACACCCCGTATATTATAATATAGTCAATAATAATAACATGTACCTATAGCGTACACACTATTGTACGAAAACTATTTAATATATGGACGGCGTGTTCCGTTTTCCCGGAATCGTACAGCAGAGTCGGCCCTTATTATTGTTTGTACATTTTTATAATATCGGCTAAATTTACATGGAAACAACCGGGGACATTAAATGTTTGTTCGTATATAGTTAGCGAGAAATCGTGCGGATAAGCGACCGAGGTATATACGATAGATTAACCGCTCCGATAAACAGCATCCGCGCGTCCGTTTGCGGTGTACCCACGCGACCATTTCAGCCTCGGAAGATACACGACGATACACCCCAGTAGATAATATATATATATGTATATAATGTATATGTATTTTATGTATATATACAGCTGCTGCTGTAAATATTTTTCCAATTCAATAAAACACGCGATGGGTTATTGGCCGATAAAATCAATGTACACCCAAATTTAGCAACACTCCCTTATTTATGTACTCCTCGTAACACAGAGTATATTAGATTTATTGGTCTTTGAACTGCACATCCTCTAAATTATTATCAGCGTGCTTCGCAGTTCGTACGCACATATGTATTTATTTACTCTAGAATAAGAGAGACTCTCGAAAATAAATCGCGCAATACTCGTATTATATGTGCGCAGCGCGAGTGTTACGATAATAGGAAGGGATGATAATATCTTATAACCTCCCAATTTCGTGGGTTCATTAAAGATTATATTATTATAAAAGCCATCATAATAGTATAAGTACTCAAAATCCGTTAGACTCACGCACTTGGCGGGTCTCGGTGTTAATTTCCCTTCACGCGTTTATCAATACTATAATATTAATTATCA